GAGGCTGAGGCTGATGCTGAGGCAGGCTGAGGCAGGTTGAGGCTGAGGCTGACGCAGGCTGAGGCCGAGGCAGGCTGAGGCTGAGGCTGAGGCAGGCTGAGGCTGAGGCCGAGGCAGGCTGAGGCTGAGGCTGAGGCAAGCCGAGGCAGGCTGAGGCTGAGGCTGAAACTGAAGCAGGCTGAGGCATCCGTAGGAATCCATAGGAATCCTCAGGAATCCCTAGGAATCCTTAGGAATCCGTAGGCATCCTTAGGAATCCGTAGGCATCCTTAGGAATCCGTAGGCATAGTTAAGCATCCTCAGGAATCCTTAGGAATCCTCAGGATTCCTCAGGAATCCTTCGGAATCCCTAGGAATCCATAGGAATCAGGGTTCCTAGGGAATCCTAAGGTTTCCTAAGGATTCCCGTGGATTCCTAAGGATGCCTAAGGATGCCTTAGGAATCCCTCGGAATCCTTAGGATTCCATTGGATCCTAAGGCCGTTGCCACTGCGACTATCATTGCGAATGCGACTGCGACTGCGAGAACAGCAGAATTCTACAACTGGATTCTCACCTGAATCTTAAGGGGAAGACTTCCATATATGCTTATACACATCGCTGTTAGGTTGCTTTGCCGGGATAATGTTAATGAGTGCCCCGAGTGATAGAAAGATGGGCAAACAGACCCCTTCCCCCTACAACCTCCTTATCATCCAAGGGGTGGTCGTATAGGTGTGTATATCAATATATATATATAGAGAGAGAGAGAGAGAGATAGAGAGAGAGAGGGAGAGAAGAGAGAGAGAGAGAGAGAGAGAAAACAAAAAAAAGATAGCGAGGAGAGAGAGAGAGAGAGGGGGGGGACAATTATCCTGGCAAGGGGCCCAACCATGTACAATCGTGAATACCGCAAGAAAGGTGGGACGAAGGAGGGGGATCTCCTTATGCAGCCACGAAGCGCGTGATGGGTGTCGAAATTGGCAAGGGGCCGCATGTGGACGCACCAACTGGGGCCTTTAGTGGAGCTCCCAATGGGGCAGTGGTGTGCCGACATGCGTTAGGGGCTCGTTATGTGTCCCCTCCCCTGAGGACGTCGGTGCTCCCCATGGGGCCACCCAACGTGTGAGGGGTGTTCCGACATTGGATTGAGGACGCGATAAGGCACCAACCCCTGGGGGCTTCGGTGGACCCCCATATAGGACCACGAATGTGTGCGGAGTGTGCCGAAATGAGCCGGGGGGCGCTATGCGACGCCACCTCCCCGGGGCTTCGGTGGAGCCCACTGTGTAAACGCGTAACGTGTTGGGGGTGCCGAAATGGGTTGAGGGACCCCCCCGGGAGATTCGGTGGAGCTCCCTATTGTATGAGGCCAAGAGACATGCGAGGGGTGTGCCCAAATGGGCGGCGGGGGGGGGTCGCGCTGGGCGGCACCACCCCCGTGGGAGCTTCGGTGGAGCTCCCTCTGGAGCCACGGAACGCGTGAGGGGGTGTGCCGACAGGAGCTGGGGGACGCTGTGCGGAAACCACCCCCTGGTGGGCTCTTCTGGAGCTCCCCGTGAGGCCACGGAGCGTGTGAGGGGTGTGCCGAAATGGGCTGGGGCACACCATCAGACAAAGAAACGTGCAAAGGGGTGTACCAACATGGACTGGGGGACGCTAGCGGCACCAACCCCTGTGCCTCTGGCAGAACTGCATATTGGGCCGCGAGCGTGTGAGGGGTGTACCGAAGTTGACTGGGGGACGCTATGCGGCGCCACCTCCTGCGGGCTTTGGTGGGGCCCCTTATTGGGCCACGAAACAAGTGAGGGGTGTGCTGCAATCGCCGATGGGACCCCACCGGGGACTTCCGTGGAGCCCCCGTTGGGGCAACGAAGCGTGTGCGGGGCGTGCCGGAATGGGTGAAGGGTCGCTATGAGGCACCAGCCCCTGGGGGCTTCGGTGGAGCCCTCTCCAGGGCCACAAAACGCTTGAGGGGTGTGCCGAAATCGGCTGGAGGACGCTGTGAGGCACAACCCCCTGGCCGTCGTCTTCACGGGGACGCCTTCGCTCCCTGCGTGCGAAGGGCGTCAAGGCAGGAAACCGTCCGCCTCCTACTCCTCCGCACCCTCATCCTCTCGCCTCCACGTGTAGAGGATGAGAGCCCTCCACGTCATACTCACCCTCCCACTCATCAGCCTTGACCTCCTCCCTCCTCCTCCTCCTCCTCCTCCTCCTCCTCCTCCTCCTACTCCTCCTCCTCCTCCTCGACATCTTCGTCGTAGTCCTCCTCCTCATCATTATCAGCAGCCTACTCCGAGTCCTCACCTACCTCCTCCTCCTCCTCTTCCTCCTCCCCCTTATGATCCTCATCATTCTTATCAGTATCATCAGCAACGTCGTGTTAATTCTCGACGTCGTCCTCCTCATCGTCACCATTATCCTCAGCACGATGATCAAGATCATCATCAGCAGCATCGGCAGCAACCTCCTCCTCCTCATCATCATCATCATCATCATCTTCATCATCACCACCATCATTAAAGTCAGCGTCGTCATCACCATCATCAGCATCGTCGTCATCATCGACATCGTCTCCATCATTATCATCATTAACGTCGTCGTCATCATCAACATCAGCATCGTCATCGTCATCGTCATCATCATCGCCACCATCATCATCAGCGTCGCCATCATCGACAGCGTCAGCATACGCAATATCAGCAGCATTAGAAATTACATCATCGCCATCATCAGCATCAGCATCAGCATCATGACCATCACCAGCATCATCATCACCACCATGATCAACATCATCATCGGCATCGTCATTACCAGCGTCATCAGCATGAGCGTCAACCACACCACCGTCATCGCCACCATCAGCATCAGCATCGTCAGCATCGGCATCGTCACCAACCCCATCATCACCATCAACCCCATCACCATCACCACCGCCATCATCGTCATCACCATCATCGTCGAAGTCGTCGCCATCGCCGTCGCCATCGTCATCATCATCGACATCAACACCATCATCACCATCACCAGCATCATGACCATCATCGTCGCCGTCGTCATCGCCATCTTCAGCATCGTCAACATCACCACCAGCATCTCCAGCATCAACATCCGCATCATCAGCATCACCACCACTGCTTTCATCAGCAGCATCGTCATCGTCGTCGTCGTTGTCGTCGTCGCCATCGTCATCATCATCAACATCACCATCATCATCATACTCAGCATCATTAGCACCGTCATCATCAACACCAACACCATAATAATCAACATCAACATCAGCGTCATCATCACCACAATGAACACCGTCATCGTCGTCGTCGCCGTCGCCGTCGCCATCCACATCAGCATCACCTGAATCGTCATCAGTACCAGCATCAGCATCAGCACCACCATCATCATCACCAGTATCAGCATCATGACAATCGCCGTCGTCGTCACCATCGCCGTCATCATCACCACCACCATCACCAGCTGCATCAGGACCATCACCCGCATCATCATCATCATCATCATCATCATCATCATCATCATCATCATCATCAACATCCACTACCACCACCACCACCACCATCATCATCATCATCGTCGTCGCCATCGTCACCACCATCAGCATCACCATCATCACCATCACCAGCAACAACATCAGCATCACCATCATCACCACCAGCATCATCATCATCGTCGTCGTCACCATCAGTGTCATCATTATCGTCGGCATCACCTCCACCACCACCATCACCATCGTCGTCGTCATCGTCATTGCCATCACTTTCACCATTACACGTCGTTCATTTCGAATCGTGCTCCTTTCGAATTGTGCTCGTTTCTAATTGTTCCGGGTTCCCTAGTGGCCAGGAAGACGCCCAGCATAGAACAATTAGAGATGACAGGATCTTGGCCCCCCAAAATCGAAGAACGTTCGAAGAATTAGAAATCAACAATGTGTGCCATCATCAGCATCAGCAGCATAATCATTATCACCAACACCATCAGCATCGGCATCGTCATCATCATCATCATCATCAGCAGCAACGTCATCATCATCTTCCTCTTCCTCTTCATCATCATCATCATCATCATCATCATCATCAACATCACCACCATCTTCACCTACATCAGCATCAGCACAATCAGCATCACCACCACTGGCATCATCATAATCGTCGTCGTCCTCGCCAACATGATTCACCATCACTACCAACATCATCACCATGACCATCATCGACATCGTCGCCGTCGTCGTCGACGACGCCATCGGCATTATCAGCCCCACGATCGTCATCGTTGTCGTTGTCGGCGTCGTCATCGTCATCATCATCATCATCGTAATCACCACCTGCATGATCAGCATCAACACCAGCATCACCATCATCACCGCCAGTATCACCATGATCATCGTCGTCGTCGCCACTGTCATCATCATCATCATCATCATCATCATCATCATCATCATCATCATCAATTTCACTACTATCATCATCAGCATCAGCACCACCAGCACTACTATCATCATCAGCATCAGCACCACCATCATCATCGTCGTCGCCACCACCATCATCAACATCATGATCATCACCACCATCATCATCATCAGCATCAGCATCCTAATCATCACCACCAAAACCATCATCACCATCATCATCATCATCATCATCATCATCATCATCATCATCGTGATCGTCGCCATCGCCATCATCATCAACATCACCACTATCATCATCAGCATCAGCATCAACATCAGCATCATCAACATCATCATCACCACCACAAGCATCATCGTCGTCGTCGCAATCGCCATCCTCAGCAACATCACCCCTTTTATCGTCATCATCATCAACATCATCATCACCATCATCGTCACCACCATCATATCAAGCAGCAGCATCCAGTGGCATCGACATCATCACCGCCACCTTCATCATCATCCCTCCTCTTCCTGCGAGCCCGCACCCGCTCCCGCATTGGGCCACCCGGCCAAGCCCCCGGCGCCCGCCGCAGCAGCAGAGGGAGCGGGCGGCCTGCGGCCCTTCTTCGAAGGGGTTGGTGTCAGGCGAGACGGGTCCTCAGAGGAGCCGACAGCTACAGATGGCGGGTCCGTGTCGTGTCGACCCTGGCGTCCGTTCCTGACACCGCGGGGATCGAGCAGCTTTGAACGGTCGGCCGATTCCGAAACGTCAGATCGTTCAGCATCCACCGATTCCGGCTCGACGGCGGCGCTCAACCTTGAACGCTGGCAAAGGAACGCCGCCAGTCCACGCGACGCGAATCTACCGTACGTAAGCATAAACCTCTGGAGGTCCGTGAAGATTTCTTGGATCGGCGCCAAAGGCGCCGCCAGGGGGCCCAACGCCGACCCAAGAAATCCGCGCGGAGCTCCGAAAACTTATGTGTATGCTCTGGACGTCAGAATTGGGTTCGGAACAAGAAGAGTACACTGCCCAACAACAACCGTCGTCCAGAACCGACAGCGGCCGCTGTTGGGCAGGCAGCCTTCTGCCTCAGACAGACGACGTCTGCGGCGACGCCGACAGCGAGTTCTGCCCCAGATGAACAGGGACTGCTGTCCGTCTTCGTCCCCTTCCTTCCCGAACCAATTTGGGCGCCCGAGTTATCCGGGGTAACTCGGGCCCGGGGTAACTCGGGCTTGGATTCCTGAGAAACGAACCCGAGTTAGCCCTGACCCGAATTATCCCTGATGATTTGGGGCTCTGGACGCCCGAATTATCCGGGGTAACTCGGGCCCGGGGCAACTCGGGTTCGGATTCCCGAAAAACGAACCCGAGTTAGCCCTGACCCGAGTGACCCCTGATGATTCGGGGCTCTGACCAATGTCGAGCGTACCGACCGATCTTTCTTGACCCATCTCCTTCTTGTGAGGACCCCGGCCTCTGGCGTGCCTCCCTCGCTGCTCCCGGGCCGTCTCGGTGAGCAGCGCCGCGCTGGTGCGCGGCGGAGGCGTTGCCCGAGGTGGCCGTGCCTCCTGGCGCGTGCCGGGGGGGGGCACGGGGTCGGGTCCTGTCCGCTGTGCTCCCGTCGTGTTCTTTTTTAGGGGGAACACAAACCTACCCTGCTTTTGACCACCCTCGCTTCCAAGAGATACCAAACGATGCCAAATTGCAGCCTGTACTGGCCAGGCCGCTTGACGAGGAGGCGCGTGGTATGGCTTGGTTTTGCCTGGAAGCGAAAGCGGGGTAGATAATTCACGCTCTGATTTTTAGCTCACGCGGGTGGGCAGACATCCGCGAGATTTTTGGCGCGCTTGAGGCAAGCATCGGTGACACTGCCGTGCGTGATTGCGCAGACGTGGCATGCGTAGGCGGGCGGGCATGCATGTGCGTAATCATATTTATTGCGTGAACTTGTTGAACGCACCGTAGCCACCAATGTTCGAATCTAGCAATCACTGGACACGTCCTGGAGCCGGGCGGACACATGCGTAATCTAAGCTTGAGAGCTCGTTGGTTCCATCTTGCCTAAGCATAAGGCGCATCAAAGCAATCAGGCCGGAGATTTGTCATTGTCTTCGGCCCCTAGGGGCCCTCGCCGGGCCGCGGGGCCGTCAACGAAACGACTCGGAGTGAAAAGCCAGCCCTGGGGAACGGATCGGGACCTCCCGGGACCGCGCGTGACAAAGTCACGTCATCGCATGCCTAATGCGGAATGACGATTAATAAAAAATGGGAGAGAGCGATAAAAAAATAGTTTTCTGCTATTTCTGCACAATTCTCTGACTGGAGGAGAACGATTTTGAAAAAACAAAAAAAAAGTGTTCCAGCCCGCGGCCGGTGTTTTCTAATCGTCATCCCGGGCGCCGCCGCGTGAACACGCCCCCCGGTCATTGCTTAATCGCCATCCTCCATTAGGGCTCAGGCGTCCAACGGGCTGCTTCTCAAGCTCGGCCACGCCCTCGCGCTCGTCCTGCCTTTCGCCCTGCCCTCCCGGCCGCACGCCAAGACCTTCACGGCGCCCGAGCACGCCTCTTGGCGGCCCCGTCCTCCTCCTCCTCCTCCTCCTCCTCCTCCTCCTCCTCCTCCTCCTCCTCCTCCTCCTCCTCCCCGTCATCCTCCTCCTCCTCCTCCTCCTCCTTCTCCTCCTCCTCCTCCTCCCACTCCTAGCCCTTTCGATCAGGGTCGGCGGCACCGGCCGTCAGGCCTCTCCAATACACACAAATAAAAACATTCACCCTATTTTCCCATATTTTCTTGGTTTTTGTCTTCCCCCCCAATTCCCATACTTTCCCATATTTTCTGGGGAGTCGGCGATGAATTGTGTCTGTGTGTCTCTTCCCCTCCTGAATGTGTGCGTGGGCGTGCGCTGCTCCCCACCTCGGCCCCGCAGCCGCGGTGCAGGCCCGAGCTACTCGCAGGCCGCTGCCAAGCTGTCCCAGCGGTGGCGCACCCGCTCGTGTCAGTTTCCTGTCCGCTGCCGACCCACTTTTCACGCCGGCCTCGCCGATAGCACCGGCTGCCGCAAGGTCGAGGGCAACGGGCTGGGCACACGAGCGACGCAGTGGGCGCCGTGCGCACGCGAAAACGACGAGACAGTGGAGCTGGCGAGGCTGTGGCACACCTCCTGGAGCAGCAGCAATCTCATGGCGGCAAACACCTTTGGCAAGTACGAAGCCATGTTCTACGGCAGCGGGCCCACCAGGCCGAGCAGCCTCACAATGCCACGCGTTGCACCGCATCGGCGCCGAGCTTCAGGCTCGACGAGGCCGACACCCCTGGGGATCATGTACCGGTATACCTCGAGAACTCGCGCCCGAAGGGGCCGCAGGATTGCGCACAGGCAATGCCGCCACCCAAGTGGAACACGACCGTCTTCCTAGCCGTCAGGGGCGAGCAGCGCATAGACTTCGCTGACGAGGTACCCAGATGGCTGGAAGACCACTTGGAAGATCGCATCAGCGCCCACGGCCAGGACGCTCAAGACCACACCCTCGAGCTGCTTGAGCGGTGCCTGGTCGAGGCCGGTCCCGAGCGTTTCACAAAGCCGTTGGACGTCCCTGACGAGTGCGCACACTGGGCCACGCTACGGCACGGCCTGCTTTTGAAGAGGATCGACCTGCGAGCTTCGCGCCAGCATGCCACGATCCTCAAAACCGTCGAGAAGGCGCTCTGGGAGCTTTGCCAGCGTCTTCGCCTCCTTCGAAAGAAAGGCAAGCGGAGACCGTTTTTCGTTCCAGGAGGATAGCACGTGTGACCCTGGGGGGGGGGGGGGCGAAGGGAAGGGGGTAGCGGTAACGGGGGCGGCGGCGCGCACTCCGAGGCGCGCCGCCTACGACGTCGTCGTCGTCGTCGTCGTCGCCGTCCAAGCCCACGGTGCCTGCACGCACGACATGGGCAGGTTGCTTTTGCGCACCAGGGCTGCAACAGAAATGATGTGTGTGCACCACGGCGACTGCATACACCATGACAACCGCGTACACCACAGCACCTTTGAACATAACTCTGTTCGCGCACACCACGGCGCCTGCGTGCACCACAACTGATGTTTTAGCACCCCCTGCGCAACACAGCCCCTGCGTACGCCACAAAGCTTGTGTACACCTGAAGGTACCGACGGAGCCAGACTCTGGAAAATCGCTGGTGGCCCGAATGTATCAAGTTCAATATCTGGGTTGATCGTGAGTACTTGTTTCTCTGGCCCACGGAAAACTCAGCTATTTCGTGCCCCCAACGCTTGTGTACGCCGTAGCGACTGTGCGCGTCATGGCAACTGCGCGCATCACGGCGCCCGTGAACACCACGCGGCTCGGGGGCGCGCGGACCGGCGTCAGCCGAGAGAACGCACGCAGGGGAAGCAGGAGGAACAGCAGCGCCAACCAGCAGGAGGAGCAGGAGAAGTAAAAGGAACCCCGCGATGGGGTCGACAGCTCGGGTCCCCCGCACTTTTTCCAAGAGTGCTGCCAAGCTGCACGCCATCATCTAAGAGAAGCTCGTTGCAGGACTCCGTGCAAGAGACCGCCAACGGACCTGCGTGATGCACCACGCACAGCCTGCGCACAAATATCTTATGATTCCTACTCCTCCTTCTCCTCCTCATCCTCCTCCTCCGCGCAATCATCATCATCAATGCCCGCATCCTGTATTCGCAAGGAGGACGGCGACGAGGAGAACGAAAATGAAGAGGGAGGAGGAGGAAAAAGTAGGAAGAGATGCGTGGGTACATTCTAGCCCACAACGCACGCTTACAACATCACGGCGCCTGTGTACACCACAGGGCTTGCGATATGTACACTACAGTGCCTGCGTACACCCACTATGCCTGATTGCACTACAGCTGCTGCTGCAACAATAGATGTGTGCGCCACAACGCCCGTGTATACTGCAGTGCTTGTGTACACCATAGTGCACGCCCGCGTGCACCGCCGCACTAGTAGCGCCTGCGTGCACCACAAGCCCTAGGCTGCCCGGGATCGCGCACTGGACCGGACCGGGGCGTTACCGTTACGGAGGGGAGAAGGGGGGGCAGGGGGGGGGTAACACGTGTGATCTCTTGGGTGGATAAAAATTAGTCTCGCGTGCTGCTCAGGAGTCGTACGTCCAGGCCTCCTACGGGGCGCGGGCCAAGAGGAATATATGCGAGGCGATGGGATAGGCCCGACGTGCTGCAAAATGTCGTTTCTTCACCAAAAAGCAACAAAAAGCAAGACGGCCGACGATTTGGAGCGTCCCCGATCTCTCAGTAAGCATAAATGTCTGGTCGCTTCTGGAGGTGATAGGGGCATGGGGGTTCAACCGATCGATCTCAGTGAGTGGCGAGCTACCCGCGATAACCTCGGCTTGAATCAGATCTACGGTATTGCCGGCTACGACGATCGCCCTGAGCAGCTGGAGTATCGTGACATCGGTCGCCTACGGCGTTTTGTCCGTCACGCCCCTGAGCGTCGAGTCGTGCCCGAAGGCAACGCGCCCCTGGAACTCCGGCGGCAGCTCTTGCACTCAGCTCGAGGCACGCAAGGTCAGCGCCCAGGCCTCGGTGCAGCACGAGCCCCCGAGGATCCCACGCTGGTCTTGAGGTCCTTCTTAGACGGGGTGATGAAGACAAGGATCTCCGACATGGCCCCTCTCCATTGGAGCGCGAGCCGTGGGCGGGCCCTTCGCAAATCGGCCCAGCCAGGGCCCAGAGGAAAACGCGTGGTCCACGGGTACTCCAGATTTCGTAATAGAAGGGAGGGGGTCTGGACCCTCCAAGACGAGCCATTTCAGACCTCCCCCGTGGGAGAACCCTCCAAAACATCGTCCCCAGACCCCCTCAGGCCCTCCAAGATGGCCTGGAAGAGACCCCCCCCGAAATGAGATCCCCCTCCCTTTATTACGAAATCTGGAGTAAATCGTCTTCGCGGACCTCTTGCCCAATGCATTGGCGCCCGAGGATTACGGTTTCCAACGTCACCGTCGTCGAGCGGGGGCCATCATGGATGCTCAGGTGTCCGATTCTGGAAACCCTGAACCCGGAATTGCTTTCGTCTCTTGGGGGCGCACTTTTTACCTCCGCCGCCTTCCGCCGAGCTTCCGCCGGCTTCCGCCGGCGGAGGCGGCCTCATTTTACTTCCGCCGACCGTCCGCCGACCTTCCGCCGAGGAAGAGGTGGCAACTTTTATGTCCTTGAAGGAGAAGCCCTTTCTGGCACACTCCAGGCGGTGGGGCGGAGAATGTGGAGAGCAGGTTGGAGTTGTGGGGCGAGCCTGAAAGACACGAGCAACGCTTTCGGCAGCACGATTTGGGTGGCTATGCATTCCACAATGTCCACTTCTGTCCAGCCTGAACATGCTGTGCTTCGCAAGAGATGGATATCGTGTTGCAGTCGTTCACTGCCGAATTAGGGATGAAGGGGAGCTATGGGTGAAGACGCGCGTGGGAGGAGCGCTGGGGGATCCTTTTATGGTCGCGGCCTTTTCCACGACGTTTCGCCGACTGGTGCAACAGTGGACTGAGGCCCTTCGAGTTGCTGACCCAACGACTCTCTCTCTATCTCTCTCTCTCTCTCTCTCTCTCTGCTGCTCGCCGATTAGCATGGCCAAATGGTGGCCCGTACACGCTAGTAGCCCCCAAGAACTCCATAGGCTCCTTCCCGGCCAAGTTAAAGTATCCCGACGATTGCCTCGACTCCTTCCTCCAGGGCTACGGGCGCAAACAAAATAGGGGGAAGCAAGAGCTGGCGGTCTGGATCGAAGGAGAGGGGCCATGGCATGTCGCAGATGACTTCGCGGGCCTGGTCGGGCCCTTCTCTCGGACGCCCCGAAGGAGGAGGTCAGATACCCAGGTCCCCGCACATCGGCGTCCCACCTCTCGTCAGGAGGTGGCCCGTTGGCATCCTTGCAGCACGCTCCACTTTTGCTCACAGGGTGGCTTTTAGTCCCTGAAGCCGCCATTGGAGTTCGCGCGCTCTACGTTTATGTCTCTGGTCCAAAATTCAGCTTTGTGCGGCCTGGCGGCCTCCCTGTTGACCGAAGAGCAGCGTGCCAGCCGAGACGCCGCAGGGGCGCACTCTGCTCGCACACTGCAGCGCGCGGGCGTGCCAGTGGGACCACCGAGAAAGGAGAGACTCGCACCCTGTCGCCCGGGGCTGCGTTGACACCTTGACGCGCCTGTGACACGCACGTTATTTTTTTTTTGTCCCAAGCAGTGCCGCGCGGGAGGCCGGCCGCTCCTCTCACCGCGGGGGGCGCGGGGGCCCCCCGCGGATGCGAGCAGTACGCTCCACGCCCCGGGCGCCCGCTGGTGCCCGCTCATCAGGTCGGGAGCGCTGCTGGCGCAACTGCCGGCGACCTTGCTGGCCTCGCGTCCAGCGGCATGCCCGGCATCACGGCGTCGAATGCCGCCGCCGCGGCAAACAGGAGGCCCGCCCCGAGGAGCGGCACGGCGGCGAAGCCGTGCGCCCGGTACACCCGCGCGGCCACCGTCACGGCCACGAGCTGCCCCGCTGGCACGGTGGCCACGTTGAGGCCCAATGCCGTGCCCATCTCCGCCTGGGGAGTGGCTCTCGTGAGGAGCGAGCTGATCATCACGTTGCCCGAGCACAGGACCATGTTCACCGGCGCCAGCCAGAACACAAAGGCCCACGGCGAGGGGGAGGCCAGGCCCATGCCGACGAGGCCCGCCCCGAGGAAGGTCGCGGTGCCCCAGCACAGGGGGCGAGGGTCGACGTCATCGAAGACGAGTGTCTGCGAGGCTATCTGCAGAAGCCCGGAGTAGGCCATCAGCATTGCCACCTGGTGGGGAGAAAAGCCGAAGGGGTCCACCGCGAACTGCTGCGCCATGAAGACTACACTGCCTCCAGCTGCATTGAGAGCTGTCTGGAAAGCCAGCACGGGCAGCACACCGGGCGTAAGAAGCACCCGCAGCAGACCAGCACGATTCCCTCGTGGCTCGACCTCGCTGCAAGCCTCTGCCTCCTCCCCCGCCTCGCCACCCGCCACGTCTGCGTGCGCGGTGTCGGAGGGGTAGAGGGCTGCAAGCACCAGCACTAGCCCAGCCTCGGCCACGACAGCGACGCCCGCGATTTGGCGCGGGGCGAAAGTCCTGAGCGACGCCGTCACGATGACGCCGCTGGAGAGTAATGCAACACCATGTGCAATAGCGATGCGCCCCAGGGCAGTGGCCCGCGCGTCCGACTCGGATTGCCTGCTGGCCACCTGCATGGACACCTGGAAGCCGTGCATGAAGAAGAATGGCAATGCGCTGAGGTACAACACGGGCACGGATGGCGCGGTCGCAACTATAAGCGACGTCACCAAAGCCGATGAATGCACCAGCAACAGAGCGGACTTCGTCCCGCACCAATCGAAGATCGTACCCATCACCACACCTCCGACGAGGTTGAGGGTGCTCGACCCCGCAGTGATGTTTGCGAACGTGACGACATCGCCCCCAACGGCCTGGTTGATAAACGGCAACACCACGTTGACCGTCTGGTGGGCCGCCGAGGACACTGCGACGCCGAGGTGGGCAAGCCCCGTGCGCTGGACAGCCAAGGCAGTGGGCCGGACTGCGAGGAGGTCTGCCAACCAAGCCACCTGCAGCCATGGCTCCTTCGTGGACGAGGCGCTCGTGAAGACTGCATCCTGGTCGTTGCTGGGCGCATCCGACGGCGCAGCGAGCGCTGCTGCGAGAGACCCGATGCGCGGGCCGGCCTCAGCGAGCGCCGGCCCTGTGAGGAAATCCGCGTACTGCCGACACGGCACCGCCGTCGGCGGGGCAGCCGCTGCCGGCGCCGATCGCGGATGCCGCTGGGCCCGCATGGCGCCGTGGCGGCTGGCGCCCCCCCCCGCCTCGAGGCAAAACGGCTACGGACACAATCTGTGACACGCGCGTTGAGCTTGGCACTTGACGTCTAACTTGGTACCAGTCGTGGTCTCGCCTCCTCCCTCCAGCCACGTCCAGCTGTTCTCGGCCCTCTTCGGTCCTGTGCCCTTCGAGGGAAGGAGGAGGAGGAGGAGGAGGAGGAGGAGGAGGACGAGGAGGAGGAGGGAGGAAGGAAGGGAGGGAGGGAGGGAGGGAGGAGGAGGAGGAGGAGGAGGAGGAGGAGGAGGAGGAGGAGGGATCGCACCCGTGGCAGATGTAAGTCTAGCTTCTCCGGTGCTCATCCGCGGGCGCCGCACGTGGCGGGGGACTTTACAGGTGGTCTCGGGGGCTCTCGCCGGGCTGTGCAGGCCTCTTGGGTCCTGTGGCTGCTCGTCCAGTAGGGGGCCACATGCGAACCCTACCCCTAACCCCCCACGACTTCTGAGGGGGAGGGTGGGGTTCACTTCGCTCGGGGGCTCCCGAACGAAGTGAACCCCACCCTCCCCCTCAGAAATCGTAGGGGGTAGGGGTAGGGTTCGCATGTGGCCCCCTAGTCCAGGCCTCCTGTGGGACTCCGAGGGCCAGTCCGAGTTTGACCAGATCGATGTTACTGCAATCCGTTCGAATGCATTTGGCTCCCGTTTTGCACCCCCTGAGCACACCGAAGGGGGCCCCCGAGAACATCCCGTGTCGAAGCGGGAAAGGTAACCCCGGGGCGCCCCAGTGCCCGTGCCAGGTGGAAGCGAACACCTCGCGATTCGCAAGGGGCTCGCGGCACGCCTACGTCCTCGACATCACCTTCGACCGTTTTTTGCCACGCTCTTACACCATGTAGCACCTGCATCTGTTGCCGGGGGGGGTTCTAGGATCGGGCCTTTGCCGCACGGCACCTAGCATTAATGAGCTGCACAGCAGGGACATTGTCGCCGTGGTGGGGGCAGGACGGTTCGACCCCTCGTACCTCCGTCGACATTGATGTGTTCCCAATGCGAGCGCGGATCTTCGAAGTCGATGATCTGCCTGGCCCAGTCCTTCCACGGCCGCGGCGGTTCCTGCCCGACACTCCGAACGAGCTCGGTGGCAGTGGAGCTGCAGGCGGCGGGCTGGACGCAGGGATCCTCTCCAGCGAGGCGTGGGGCAAATGGGGCACACCAGTCGGGGCCGCCTACAAAAAAAGCCAGCCTGGGGTCGCAGCAGAGGAATGGAGAATAAGGGCGACCTGTACGACGCACTGGTGAAGGCGGTCGCCAAGCTGCGTCTCAACGACACGCGCGAGCTGGCCAACCTCGCGGGCACAGCGTTCCAGACATGGGAGTGTGAGGAGGGGTCTCAGCACATTACGCAGATTATGCTGGACTCAGGCGGCAAGCGCAACAAAGCTTCAAACAGCCCCTACGAGCGGCAGCAGAACGGAGAGCAGATCGATTTTCGGGCGGGGGGACCTCCACATGTGCAGATGTGGACAGCTGTGAGCTTCCACCTCGTCATTCACGCTCCAAAGCTTCTAAATGGGAACGACGCCTACAAGGAGTCGGAACAAAAATCGTCACGCATTACTTCCAGAAAGACATCCAGGTCAAGAGGCCCAAAGATGTGGCGGAGCACGTTCTTCACTTCCGCTGCCGCACGTGCAGAGGGGAAGAAGGGCCAGGGCCAGGGCGGCGCGTCGCAGGCGTCGCAGGGCAGCCAGGACCAGAGCTCGGCGAAGAAAGGCAGGCGCACGTTCGCTGTCGGCCGCGCCAAGCCCAGGAGGGAGGCCAGGACCGTGCTGTGCGGGCCATACTCGTAGCCATATCCAGCGCGTCGTGGACTTTCTTGGTGGAAGGGGCGCCGCGAGGCCGAGGCGCACCCGGACATGCACAGGCATCGAGCCTCTGGGGGCCAGATCTGAATCCATACACCATGCGCCTCCTGCTTCTGGGGCAGTTGCAAATGGAATTCCTTATTATTATTATTATTAGTAGTATTATTATTATTATTATTATTATCATTATTATTATTATTATTATCATTATTATTATTATTATCATTATTATCATTATTATTATTAGTATTATTATTATTATTATTAGTATTATTATTCGTATTTGTATTTGGGCAGAGAGCCCGAAACTCCAAGGCGCACCGGCTGTGGACCTGGACGGTGCCCGCGTGCCGACCCAGCTCCCGCGCGCCACGACGCGGCCCCAGCGCCGCCCAGCTCGGCGGCCCCGCCCCCCGCGCGGATAGCCTCGAGCGCGAGGCGCCGAGGCCGTTTTTCCTCTCGCTCCCGCAGGAGGAGGGAGGCGAGGCACAGCTGTTGTTGGTCTGCGGGGCGAGCGCGACCCTCTTGCGAGAAAAGCTAGGCGGGCTACGCACAGCTCTACTTGGGGAGACAGGGCGCAGGCGGGCGGGGCCTCAGGCGGCCGGAGAGGGCGGGGCCCGGGGTGCAGGCGGTGCCGAGGAGCCTGCACAGGAAGAGGAACGCCGTGGACAGGAGCCGGAGGCGATCGGGAGGCGAGGAACAGGTGGACTCGGCCGGACTGGAGAGCACGCAGAGGGGTCTCGGAGCCACTTCCCACGAGGGCGCCCGAGGGAGAGAGGCTCGAGATCCGAGCAGGTCGGGGGCGCGCAAACATGGATCAGCGATCCACGGACTTGGCGCGCGGTCGCCTGATCCATGGATCGGGGGAGGCGCCCTCCCCAACATGCGGCCGGTGCCGCCTCGCTCGGCGGCGGAAATCCGCGGTCCCCCCATGGAAACGGGACCCGTCGCGAATCCACGCCCCCCTCGAGCAATGTCTGCGACCGCCGGAGCGGGGGGAGCGCTTTTGGCGGGTATGGCGAGCGTCTTGCAGAGGCGGGGGGGGGCACCGACGAGGGCCCGGCAGGGGGAGCGCTTCTGCGGGTACGGCGAGCGTCCTGCAGGCTTTGCCCCCGCTCGCCGCCGAGCGTGCCCCCGCCTCAAGGCGACCCCCCGCCCCCCGACAGAGGCGGGCAGGGGGGGGGGCACCGACGAGGGCCCGGCAGGGGGAGCGCTTCTGCGGGTACGGCGAGCGTCCTGCAGGCTTTGCCCCCGCTCGCCGCCGAGCGTGCCCCCGCCTCAAGGCGACCCCCCGCCCCCCGACAGAGGCGGGCAGGGGGGGGGGGGGCACCGACGAGGGCCCAGCACGGGCGCCGCCGGGCCTGCGGCTCCGCCGGCGCGTGGGCGACGGCCGCGCGAGGAGCCGCGTGGGGGCGAAGAGGAGGAGGCCGCCTGAGTTGAAGTCAGCGGTCTTGGAAGCGCGAGGAGCCGCTTGGGGCGAGGAGGTTGGAGGAGGAGGCCGCCTGAGTTGAAGCCAGCGGTCTTGGAAGGACCATTCTAGACTCGTGTTTGTAGAGTCTGCATCCCCTGCAGTGCCTATCACCTTCGAGAGCATCGAGATTGGCCCTGATGAAACGCAGCTCGAGAGTGACGTGTTCGACAAGACCGACCCTTATATCAGGCTCTGCGTTAATACAGAAGGGTGGGGCGGGGAGAAAGCGTGCACCTCGAAGAAGGAAAATGATCGACAGCCAGACTGGGGCGAGGAGGAAATCACGCTTGACAATATTGGTGATACTCCAGCCTCTGTCGTGATGATGATCGACGTGTATGATGATGATATGTTTGAGGACGATGCCATTGTCTCAACCATAGTCGACCTCGGCACACTCAGGCAGGGATCTAAAAAGATCAGGGTGAAGGTCGACAACAACATCTTCGCGAAGGACGACTACGCCATGATGGGTTACGAAACTGGCGGTTGGGGCAGCTGATCCAAACCCATCGCTTCGATTGCTCGTCTGATGGACGTGGGTCACGGCATGTGCAGGCAACTCGTGCTACAGTTTGCGATACAGAATGCCACACATGAGCGCTTTTCATCCAGTTGCATGCTGATTTGTGTTTGTCCGTGGACCCGGGCATGATTGCATGCTGATTTCGTTCGAGGGGTCCACATGGGCTGATCCAAGCCGCTTCGGGCTACATTTGCTTAGGTAGGTGAGGCTCACACCCGATCGTTGTCTCTGTGAGGATGTGTGTAGGCACAGCGCCGATGTGCAGGGCGTGTCCGGCAGTCTGCTGACTTTAGGAGAATAGTTCGCGCCTGAATTGGCCGTCGTCCAGCGACAGGGTCTCGCGGGCCGCCGGGCTTTGAATGATCTACAGAAGCATAGGTATTATATCTTTTAAGAGATGAGGCAGACGGCAAAGAGTGAAAGCAACATACAAGAACAAACGATCAGCAATCACAAAGGTTACGTCGGTATCGCGTATATCCTGTTTTCTCGACCTCCATATAGTACAACGCGGTGGCGCTGGTTATCTTTTCACCATGGCCTACCCATCATTTGCCTCGTCCTGGCCCCTTCCTGCCGTCGTTCGTCCGTCCCCGCTCCTCTCGCCTTCCCCGCTCCGCTGGGCCATCGGCATCTCCTCCCCCCCTCAGGTGCTGTTCCCTGCCATTGGCACGAGGGGGTACGGCAGGTTCGTGTCGTGCCGACCCCAGCGTTGGTTTTTGACACCGCAGGGATCGTTCAACCTTGAACGATCGGCCGCTGCCGCAACGTCCGATCGTTCAACATCGATCGATTCTGGGTCGCTGGCGGCGTTCAACCTTGAACGTCCGCGCTGGGGTCGCCGCTGGTCGACACGACGCAAACCTACCGTACGTGTGGCCTGGTTTCCGCGTGCGGATACCAGGCGCACATGCCTCGCCGTGTTGGCCTGGCCCTGCGCCTGCTCCCGCTTCCTTCTCCTGGGCCGCTGCTGCTGGCCGAAGGGCCAGGCAAGACGCTCTATCTGGCCCAGTATCCGATGTTTGCTGTGTGTCCTTGCATCTCCGACCGTCCTCTCTTCACTAGTAGCTGGTGGGGGCGATGAGGTTGGGCGTTCAGGAGAAGGGAACGGGTGGAGGAGTGCCCACGAGCAGTATCTTGTCAGCCCACAGGGCCGTCATACGGTGCCAGCCTCCAGGGCCAGCCTTCGGGCTAGCCCACAGTGCCAGCCTACAGTTAGCAGTCGCGAAGGGTCCGTGCGAAACCCGGGAAGAGAACAGACAAAACGCGCGCGGCCCCCGGGTCCA